CTCCCCGGGGCACGGGCTCCAGCCCTCTGCCCCGTTCAGTGCCATGGCAGCCTCCCACCTCAACAACATGAACAACCACTATCACTAGGGCCTCGACCGCGCCAGGCAGACCTCCCCGTCTCGGCAGTGTGGGGCTGTGGAGCTGGAGAGCTCAGCAGGGAGGGATGGGGGGGTGGGATCAAGCCCTGCTCTCAGTTGCCCCCTTTTAGATTTGGAGAGTGGCGTGGGGGACGAGGGGTGCTTGCGGGGTAGCTGGGTTGGTTCCCTGGTGTGGGTGGCTGGAGGAGAGAAGCCATCTAAATGAGGGTGAGGAGGGATCCATGACCCTGGGAACGGACATGGATACCTAAAGCAGGATGTGAATGAAAGGAAAAACCATGGGGTCTCCTCCTGGCAGGGACAGTGCCCCCCCCCTTTCCTTTGCAACGTGCCTCCCACCCCATGAACGTCCTTGGCTCTGACCCCAGCCTGTGCCTGCCCTCCCCTCTCCCCTCAGAGAGGAGTCAGGAGCTCAGGCCGCAGGGCAGCTGTGTCCGTGGGTGAGGGTCCCACTGGACAGGGGTAGGAAAGGAGACCTTCCTTGCTGCTCTTTGGTCCCCCACCTTCATCTCCAAGGCCTTCCATTCCTCCATCCCTGCTACACCTCCTGCCAGTGGTGGCTTTCTCCAGACTTCAGGAGAAGCCTTGATCTGGAGAGCAGATGCCCTTCATGGGTTAACTCCTGCCCAGGGCAGGGCTCTGGGGTTGGAGGCACCAGAGGCAGAGGTGGGGGGGCACTGTCAGCTCTCAGGAGGGAGCCCAGAGGGACCACAGCCTGGCCACTGCAACTCTGCCCTCTCCCCAGTGCCCAAGGACCACGCCACAGAGCAGGATGGTCCCCGACACCCTGCACACGAGCCTCTGTCCTGCTGGTCACTTCCAAGTTGAACGGTCCAGTTTTACTGTGGCTTTAGCCCCTTGCATGCAGGGTTTAGTGGGACATCCTCTATGGGTGGGGACATCCCCAGGGTTAAGGCTGGGTGGGAGGTGCAGCAGCAGAAGAGATGGCAGTAGGGCTGGAAGCCTCGGGCACTGAGGGGCAGGCCTGGGTCTCTCCCCCCGGGTCCAAGGAGGTACCCCCACCCTGCAGAGCAGGACTTGGGCCCAGCGGATGTAGAAGAGCTGAGCGTGCTGGGCTCTATGCTGGCTGGGGGGAGGGATTGGTCTCCAATAAAAGAGAGGTGCTGTGATCTGTGTCCTCTCATGTCTATGGGGGGGGCTGGTAAAAGGGGAGACCACCCAACAAACCCCCTCCCATAAGAGCTAGATCACCTGCAGGGCTAGGGAGGATGCGGCCACCTTGCTGCATCACCTTTTTTCCAGACACCATCTCTGGCTCTTACAGCCCCCAAGAGACAGGGCAGAGCTGGAAACCTCTGGGCTTCTTGAGACACTTCCTCCAGGGAAGCCATATACCCTGTTTCCAGGCTGGCAAGTGGATGCTGCAGCTGGAGGAAAAGAGGAGATGCAGTTGGCCTGGCAGGGCATCTGCCACCCTGCCATCATCCAGGGGAATCTGGGGTGCCAGGAGCCAGATCTCTCACGACCCAGAGAGCCCTGTGCAACCAGCCTGGGGCAATGCACTGGGTCCAGCACAGCCTGATCCTGCAGTGGGTGTCCTGCTGGGCTGCGCTGTGCCATGAGCGGGGAGGTCCCAAGCTGTGGGCCCAGGCTCATGTGTGACATTGATGCGGGGGTGAGCAAGGAAGCACTGCTTGCCCGGCTTCAGGAACATGCTCATGGTTCCACTGGTGCTTGTAGTGGCTGGTGTAGGCTCAGGGGCTCCCCCTGCCTGCCCCCCTCCTTGGGGCTGTGCTCCCCATCCCATTCCCATTGGAGGTCCAGGGGGTCAGGGCTGGGGGCCAGGCTTACAGCAGGGATCAGACCAGCTGTGTAGGTGGGTGCTGTGTAATTACACAGCCCAAGGAGGGGACGGTCACCTCCCAGCCCCTCGCTCTGCACCCCCAAGATCAGAGCAGTCCCCAGATCTGGGGGCTCCATGCTGCGCCCTCTGCATCCCTTCAGGATCTGGTCACTCTCGTGGCATCTGCTCAGATGCATCCTCACTGCCTTCATCAGCTTTAGAGGAGGGGGATCTGATGTCAGTGTCTTCTTTGGGGGGGGCTCAGGCTGTGGGGTGGGGGGGGGCCTGATGCTGCGAGCAGGGAGCCCATATATGGGAAAGGAGCTGCAGGGTTCCCTCAGGGGAATGTCACTCTGGGCTCCCTGAGCATTGCACAGCCTGGTCCTCAAATACAGGAGGTGAAGCAGGCGAGAAGGAGTAGTTACCCCCAGTACCCCCACGAGGGGAGCCTGCTTCGGGGCTTAGGTAACTGCGTGACGCAGGGCAGGACGCGGATTAAGGGATGTGGGTCACTATTACCTCCCCCCCCGCCATTCCACTCCTATCCCTCAGCCAGTGCCTGCACCGGGGCAGCCCAGGTGAGCCCAGTTCCCTGCTCATTCGCAGCTCTGCAGTCCAGGTCCCTGCTAAATTGGAGACCAGACATGCTGGGGAAAGAGGGGAGTTACGTTTTTGGGAGAGGGACGACCAGAGCACTCCCCCATTGCAACTAGGCTGCAGCTGAGGGCTTTCTTCGCTCTGAGCTCACCCAGCACTGTCCCCCTGCTCTGTCCCCAGAGTGCCACCCCAAAAGCCGGGAACCAGCCCTGCGCCCTCCGGGGACAGCAGCCAGGAGGGAAGGTGGGGAACACCCGTGCAGGACTGCGCCAGCGATGCTCTCTCCTGCCTGAGGATGCAGTCGGTGTCACCATGGCAACTCGGGATGCTCCCATCTCCAGGCCCCACTGGGACCAGCCCCCCCACCCCGTGTTGCGCTTACCGGAGGGGGGGGGGGGGGGGGGACCCCCCCCCCCCCACC